GTGATTTTATTTTACATCCTAAACAGTTATCCGCGCATAGCTAGACTACTATTCTACGAATGAATGATACATTAATCCTAACCTATTATTTATAAGATATTCTAACGTTTTTGTACTACATAATCTTTGTGTAATAGTAGTACGTAAATACGTGATTGCTATTTTATTGCTATCTTTCGTTTTTAAAATAAAAACTTCTTTCTACTACTCTATGATACTTTCCTTATCTTTGATAACATCGATTTTATAAGCTTTGTATTACGATGTCAGGGCCAAATTTATACTTTTGGAGGTACTAGGTGCAATATAATTACGAGGCCTCAAACGAACTAGTCTATTTCAATTAATCAAATTCATACATTTTTTTTTAAGTTTATTGAAAATAAGTATTTCGTTTTGCTATTATAACTAGTCTGTTTTTTATATTTTATTATTATTTTATACTTTATTATACTTCCATACTTTATACTTCCATACTTTATACTTCCATACTTTATACTTCCATACTTTATACTTCCATACTTTATACTTCCATACTTTATACTTCCATACTTTATACTTCCATACTTTATACTTCCATACTTTATACTTCCATACTTTATACTTCCATACTTTATACTTCCATACTTTATACTTCCATACTTTATACTTCCATACTTTATACTTCCATACTTTATACTTCCATACTTTATACTTCCATACTTTATACTTCCATACTTTATACTTCCATACTTTATACTTCCATACTTTATACTTCCATACTTTATACAGCTTGCGTCTAATGCGCCTTATGGTAAATACGGCCCTGCATTCGTGCATAAATGATTCCCCTTTCTATATAGTTGTCGTTTTAATCATTTTTGAAGAAAAATTAAATTGCATTCATTCCACAAAAGTACAATCAAAAGTACACTGACATCATGCAATATCAAGTCATTCTGAGGAAAGCTTTTGTGCTGATTTAACTCGGTGTTTGGAAATACCAATGGATATTTTATCGAATAAAAACACACTTATTCGACGA